TAGCTGTACTTAGGGCAACTTTCAGTCCAGATTCAGCAACGATGACCGGGCATTCTATTCAGGTGAAGACGGTAGTGGCTTTGGCACAGGGTGTTCCGGTCTTATTGGTGGGGAGCGTCACCTGCTGGAAAGACATGCCTGCTCTTCTGACACTGTCGCCAGACTGGGCATTCCCTTTTGAGGCCTGCCGAGCCTCACCCTCTCAATCCCTGCTGCCGAGACTGCCCAACGTGCTATTCAGTACAAAAAAAGGATCATGGGCATACTCACACTAGCACTTTCTTGAATGCATCTGACCGCATTGACCGACTGGCCTGGATGCATCTGACTGCAATCACGTCCACAGCTGAGTACTCGTGTGAGTATCCCCTAAGCGGAGCCCAAGCTGTAAGGCCTTGTGGTGAGCTTGGAGTACTCCGGATCGATTCCTTGTCTTGTCCTATGTCCGAACCTGCAGATGCTGAAGTTTTTTCTCTGAAGAGCAGGTCAGGTCAGGACAGGTGGGACTGGTTCCAAGATAGCTTTGTGAGCTTGGCGTATGTTTCCAAGCCATTTTTCTCTGAAGAGGCATGCACGCAGCTGCAGCTTTCGCAGTCTTGCGGGGGTTGGCCTGCACTGCCAGCCAAAGGAGGGCCCGCAGCAGCTCATTTTTCGTTGGGCGCGGCGTGCATTCTGAGGCTCGGCAAGGGACGGGTCGAAAGTACTGGTGGCGTAAGATTTGGGGCACATTAGGAAGCAGAGTCCGACCTCATCTATTTCACGTCTATTGCATATCGAGGACTCGCTCGACTACACAACGCTATACACGTATCTATCTGGTCATCCTCATCCCTATACATGCTGATTTTGGATTGGTACGAATGTATCCTGTCTGCGTGTCAGGCCCTATACATGTAGAGTGTTGTCTAGTGGAGCGAGGCCCATTGACCGTACTTGATACTGCTTGATACATGCTCAGTTGAGCGATGTATGGGGAGCCAAGGATCGACAAAGAGATGAAAAGGACTCGAATTGCCAATGCAGTGTCAGCAAAGCATCAACAAGCAATGCAATGTACATCCAGATACATATGAAATAGCACAATGTAGCGCAGCGGAAGGCTCAAAGATATGACCTGACCTGTTAGATACTGGCGTGGCACCCCATCGTACACCACACATGCGAGAGAGGGAGGAGGGACCGCACACATTCCTGAAGCTATCTGCCAGATATGTTGTGCTTCCCTGCAGACTAATAAACAATGCTGCTCCACCGTCTCCACTGCCCCGTCTGTACAAACTACGTAGAGCTCGTTCTGTGGGAGTATGTGTTCCTTGCTTCTTCGCACGTTTAGTCATTGGATGCTGCGCACCTGTCCCAATCTGGTGGAGGTCAGTGAGGACCATTGTAAAGTGGGCATCTGCGCGGCTGGTACTGCCATATTGTCTTCCCATCACTTGGGTCTGTGCTTCCTTCAGGGGATAAGAGCGAAGACGAAGTTTATATCCAGCAGATAGTGTCATGGAGGATATGGATTCTCCCAGAAGTATCGAGTCTACCTCCTCTCAGCTTCCACCCCCACTCTGCCGTGTCTATTTCCAGGTCCTCACTATTTCCGGGTAGTGGGACAGAAGATAGTTACTGAGTCATTTGCTTCCACCACGCTCACCTTTCCTATGGCTCCCGATTGGATTGTTACCGCAGTTCTGGATTGGATTGTTACCGCAGTTCTGGATTGGATTGGATTGTTACCGGAGTTCTGGATTGGATTGTTACCGGAGTTCTGGATTGGATTRTTACCGGATTTCTGGATTGGATTGTTACCGGATTTCTGGATTGGATTGTTACCGGAGTTCTGAATTGGATTGTTACCAGAGTTCTGGATTGGATTGTTACCGGAGTTCTGGATTGGATTGTTACCGCTTTGTTTAGTTGGGGCTGGTTGTGGCCCCTGGTTGTTCGAATGGTGTGCACGTCGGTGTGGAGCCAGGCCAACTGTGGGCCCTTAGCCGCTGTTGCATCCACCCGGGACTCCTCCTGGGGGAAGCTTTCCTGCGGCCACGTCACCCAGTCTCCGTACCCCCGCTGGGGCCCTTTCTCGAGTAAGGACTTCCATTGTGTGGGAATTCTGTTTAGCATATCCCCTTGAGATCCTTCGGGGGCTCTTTTCAGCATATCGCTGTTTTACGGTGACGTGTGTCTTCGGTGCAAAGGTGTTTCATTTGTCATATTCCATGCTCCAACCACGTTCCCCAAATTCGAGTCCTGAGCTGTTAGTGTGTGGGGCCGACCCCGTTCATCCTGGATCCAGGGGGGTTACAAAGTAAAGGTTGGCGCAATACCGCCTCCCTGGTTGGAAGGTGGAGGACGCTCGCCGGTATCATTTCCCCCCAAAGCCTGAGGAGTTGCCCCCAATCATTTCCTTCCCAGGATTACGCTGCTCTAGTCTGCTCTCGTCCCCATTCCATTTTGCCCAATTTTGAACGAGAAGCTAGTCTAAGAAGAGACCTGACATGTTAGGTGGGGTTCTCCCCCCAATTATATTTGGCGATCCTCCGGATACGTTAAAGGGCCTGTGGTCCCCAGGGCATTTGATGGTTTGAAATTAAAACTTAATTTAATTAATTATCCATTTGACTTGCAGCAAAGCTTTCAAAAACTGCTGATCTGGGTCAATAAAGCCCAGTCCCCCTTTGAATTCTCCTTTTTTGTCTGATTACCTGTTCTTGACTTGACAAGTTGGAAGTTACATGTCTGCAACATTCAGCCATGTAAAGCAACAACATGATCAAGAATTTTGAGTTTTCCTTTTTTATTATTTAACCCATTCCTCTGTTTGCTTCTCCCTTCATCTATTTCTGTTCCCTGTTTGCTGTGTCTGTGTTTTGCCGTGTCTGTTTTTGCTGTGTTTTGCTGTGTTTTGCTGTGTTTTTGGCTGTGTTTTGCCGTGTCTGTTTTTGCTGTGTTTTGCTGTGTTTTTCTGTGTTTTTTTGCTGTGTTTTGCCGTCTCTGTTTTTGCTGTGTTTTGCTGTGTTTTGCTGTGTTTTGCTGTGTTTGTTGTTTGTTCTGATTGTTCTGATCGTTCTGACTGTTCTGTTTGCTGTTTGTTCTGTTTGCTTGCTCTTCTTCCAGTTGGTATTGGTTTGACGACTTTCGATGAGAAAGTGTTTCCAAATGCAGAGGCTTTCAATCCGGCCAACACAAAAAAGTGCCCCTTCTCCACAGCATTCAATTGGGTTGGTGAGAAGCAAGGTCCACGCAGCTGCCCTGGACGCCACATTGCCGAACGTGCGGGGAAGGATATCCTGATCGCACAGTACAAGATGCAGGCCACTCTCAAGGACGCAGTGCCTGTGAGTGCGCAGAAGACCTCATAAGTTGGCGGCGTGGCGATCCGCCGGAAAATTAAAGGCAATCCATTTGCGCAATCCATTTCTGAGCTCTGCGACGCCGTTCCGAGTCGATGTTTTTGAAGCAACCAACCAAAAGTACAAGTAGCTAGAAAACATGCGAAGCAGCATCTCTTGTATTTTGTTTGATGGTTGATGGCAAAAGAAAATGCCATTTCAACTTTCAACTTTCAAGACTTTTTCACCTACTTTTGAAGGTAAAAGTTCCGTTAAATCCCACGAATTTTTCAAGCGGTAAACTTTTTCGTGAAGTTTTCAAGCGGTAAACTTTTTCAAGTGGTAAACTTTTTCGAGTGGCGATGTTTTTTTCGAAGTTGGCAAGCGTTTGTAACTTTTTTTTATTTATAAATAAGTCAGTGCAGAAATAGATGGGGCGACGGGCGTGGACGAAGGAAGTGAAGGACCAGCCGCCTTCTGTACAAGAGAGTACAAGAGCTGATAGGGAAACATTCGGCATCTGATTCACCTTTTTTTTGTCAAAGTCCTGCAGAACGCAGAAGACGGAAGGGGATAAGACGCCGAGGGCGAACGCACGCTACCGGCTTTTCTGCCGGTCGCTGACAGCAATTACAGCCTGCTCTGTGTGTGTATGTTACGGCAGTCACTTCCACAGCTGAGTCGAACAGCTCCTCCTAGTGTGTGAGTATGCAGAGTTTCTTTCCTGTCCTCCTGTACTCGACGCTGAGTTGTTGTCACGTTTAAAACAGCTGATGAGAAGGATCAAGGAGATGATTTCCAAGAGATCTTGAAGCTCTGGAGGCTGAGGCTGAGTACGTGTCTCATAGGAGCCGAAAAACGTCTTCTAGATCGGTGATGGATGTACATTGTACTCCCTTCAAACATTTTGTCTCATAGGAGGCTGAGACTGAGGCTGAGTACGTGTCTCCGAAAAACGTTTCATACATGCATCATAATGATTTTGTCAGAGTCCATCCCGATACGTTTTTGGCGATGTTTATCCTCCGCTTTCGACATTTTACTTTGCTGCTCATTTCGTGCAGTCTAAAATGCCCTCTCAAAAGTTTACCAAGAAGTTGCCTCTTAGCTCTGCGGTAGACGGGTTGAGATGACTGGGTTTCGAACTCTGCAACTCTTTTTTAAGAGCCACGAACCTAGTAGTAGTAGTAGTAGTAGTAGAAGTAGTAGTAGTAGGAAGAGGAGGAGAGGGAAGAAGGGAGGGGGGAGGCAGGGGGAGGGGAGGAAAGGAAGGCGAGGAGGAGGCGGCATATGCATAGGGTGGTGCAAAGGTAAAAAAGACTCATATTGCGTTTTCCCCGAAAGACTGGTCTGGCGTCAGGCGAAACGGGTTTGGAAATCGGCAGGGAGTATGGCTATACGCCGCTGTGACTGCACTTCATGTTTGACCATCCTTTGATGATCATTATGTTAACATGCCGCGACCTCTCTTCTTTGTGACTAGCTTGTGGCGTCGGCTCTGCATGCCTTGGATGTATGGATCTTCGTGACATTGTGTGTTATGCTGAAGTTATCGTCTTGTGATGATCGGGCACCGTCCTGGTCATTTCCCAAGTGCAAATCCACAATGAAAAACAATGCCACGCAGAAGAAGAAGAAGAAGAAGAAGAAGAAGAAGAAGAAGAAGATATGCACCAGCAAGGCCAATGACAATTCCCCCTCTTACTGCTGACTCAACTCAACAACAACAACAACAACAACAACAACAACAACAACAACAAGTCCACCATAGCTATGGCTTCCCCCCCTTCAGCCTCCTCTCTCATGCATTGGCTATGGCGGACTAATGAGGGCCTTGCCCTGACGTCCAAAGGACAACCCAAAGCAGCTATGGTGCTGCGCTGATGTCCAAAGGACAACCCAAAGCAGCTATGCCGCTGCTGACTTGTCCGCCATGCCTGACTCTGCCTCGAGCTTCCTTGGTGCAGCACTACCCCAACTGGGGCCTTCCAGATGCAGCGCCCAACAAGGTGATGAAGATGGTGTCTACCATAGCCAGGTAAGTGCCTCGCCACTCTTCTCCTTTGCCCCCTTCTTCCTCCTCCTCAAGCTGGACTGCTCGCCATAGCCAGGCTGAGCTCCCGCTGCCCTTCACCTCCAAGCAGCGCTGTACTAGTCCAGCGCTGTGCTCCAGCAGCATGTCGCCAATCCTTGCACACCGCAAATGAGGAGCTACTTGCTCCTCCGAAACATATAGCGGCCTACTGGCCTCCTGGGCGGTGACTTCCTAGGCCGAACGGCCTCCCAGCAACCGGTACCTCCTCCCTTTCGGAGGGAAACATCATTGCAGGCTCTGCTAACCTCCGGACAGGCCCTAGACCCGGGCTACTTGGACTGGTACCTGCCTACCTCTAACCTACCGCTACGGGGCCTCTAAAAATGCCAACTTTTGTCTTCTTCTGCTACCGGCCCTGCGGGGCCTTGCAACCAACAAGTACCCTTGCGGGTCACACACACACTCAACCGACAAGCACTCAGACAGGCATGCAAACCAGCAGGCACGCACACACACACACACATGGAAATCACAGCAGAATGCGGGAATTTCAGCAAGGCATACATTCCAGCGGCAAATCCCAGAAATCAGCAGTGTTCTCAGTCTGTGTTTTTGGCGGGTCATTACAATCGGGTGTTTGATACTCTCAAGTCCTGCTCAAGACGGTAGGCTGTATCTGGTCCTGATAAACTCCAACCGGAACGTTAGCGTGTCCTCTACCTCTGAGCCTCCAGTGTTTAGAAAAGGAATGACTGTTAGGGGTCCTTCCAGACCCAACTCTCCAATATAACTCAGACAATGCAAAATTTGTTCTCTGATGGCACTTCTTGTTTCAGACAAAGATTGTGGGCATGCGCACACTGTTGGAGTCGTTGAGGAGTTGTGGTGCATGCGCACGCATGACAACACACACAAAGGCACAGCACTGGGGTTGATCGAGGGGCGCCGGCCTGAAGGTGAGCTCCAGCTATGGCACCGAAGGTAAGCCCGGAGTCGATCCTATCACAGCACCTCCTGGCCTCCGCCGTGACAGGGCAGCTACTGCAATGCTGCTCTCGTCCAGGGCAACTACTTCAGCTCTGCTGGAGCAGCATGGCTACATGGCTTCCAAATGCTGCTCCTCTCCTGTCATGAAAATGTCCGTGGCCCTACTGAATGTCTGTGTGGATCATGTGGGGCAATGCCACGCCCTACATGGCCCGTGTTGGAGTCGTGCATACCACAATCCACTACTGTATCTGGACTGTCTGATCGACCTTGCACATTCGGACGGATCACTTTTAATGTTCTTGGACCTTGTCCAGGTAGGTCCAGATACAGATCGAATGCTGTGCACTGAAGTGCCCAAGGCCTGGTAGGTCCAGATACATATCGAATGCTGTGCACTGAAGTGTCCAGGTAGGTCCATGTTGACAGCTGGGAGCAGCTGGAATATTTTCCAGAAACAGAAATGCCAAAGGCCTGGCCATCTGCACCGGGGGGAAAAATGCACCAGGGATTAACGACCAACTGTGCCCGTCTGGTTGCAAAAAAAAAAAAAATGCTAATATTCAGGACCATTTCTCCATTAATGCGTGTCATCCTTGGAAGCGCAGGGGCCATGCTAATATTCAGTCTCTGTATCGTTCCAATTTTTAACGGATGTCCCGAAGTACCGTCTGGTTGCAAATCCATAGCCCAAGGTTGGAAAAAAAAAAAAGAAAGAAAAAAAAGAAAAAAAGAAAGTCCATACAGCCTTGCAGGGGTGGGGTGGATATCACGACCCGTATGCTTCCACTTTTGAACACCGCGTCTTGGGGCCTAGCCGCAGGGCACACGAAACGAAAACGAAACGAGTGCATCTGCCCACCAAAGTTGCCAAAATACACTCGTTACTATTTATAGCAAACCGACGAACCTGGCCATTTTCCGGGTGAAGATACATTCGTTTCTTTTTTCGTTTCGTGTCACGCCGTGTGGCGACGCCCTTGGCTGTAGTGGTTACGAGACTTGGCTCTTGAGACCGAGGCCGTCGGTTCGAATTCGTGCGTGCACGAAGGAGGACTGAGGCCCAGATGTACGGATTCAGTTACTACTACTGCAGTCTGCTGTGACTGACACGGTTTGTGATTGTGAAAGAAAAAAAAAAAAACACCATCATCTCCCGGGCAGCATGTGCCTTTCTCTAGTTCTTGGGAGAAGCAAGGCCTCGCTCGCTCTCCACCACACAACATCCCAAAAGTATCTGGTTGTGAGATTGGTGTGCATACATTCACAATCTTTGTTTGGCGAGGCCGAACGTATCTGGATTAAATACAGACCAGAGACATGCATCGAGACTCGCAGTCAGAGCAACACGTTTTAATCCAGAAGTTGGAATGAAACAAACACCCTTCCTTTCACAAAAGCCAAATGTAGTGTAAAAAAAAAAAAAAAAAAAAGTCAAATGTATTGGAAAAAAAAAAAAAAAAAAAAGCCAAATGTATGGATCAGGCAGGGTACCTGCATTGCCGGTCATTTTTTTTTTATTTTTTTTTGTGCTTCAACGTGCATCATCATTTTATTTGCATCGTCATTTTATTTTGTATAGTCTTAACTTCAGGGGAATAGGGGGACCTGAGCGTTTGAGGAAGATGAGAAAGAAGAGCTGACTCGCAGTCACGCAACGGTGCTACCGTGGCGTACCATGTGCGGAGACCATCCCTATAAATAGACTCTCGTAAGAAGGGAGTGACACGCAAAGAGTTTTTGCCTCAGCAGGGAGCTATGGCATCCGCCTCAGGCCACGTCGAGAAAGGAGTGTGAACCCGGCGGACCTTGGCGACCTGTATGCACTAAGTGAAAAAAACCGTTTCTTCTACATCTTACAGCGACTCTTCCTCACCCTGTCTCCCTCCTTCACCTTCCCACTAGCTAGCTTCCCACTCACTTTCCCATACGTACAGACCAGGTTCGAGTGTTCCGGAATCATTAATATTTGTTTGTCCGCAGAAGTTGCCCCAAACTATATGTCTTGATAAATAAATGCTCATTCCCGTTCGTGCCCTTTCCTGCAGGCTGCTTGCCCATCAGACCCCTCAATGACATTGCCGTTTCCTTCACTATGAGTTCTCCCTTCGCTACCCTTGCCTGTAATGAGGTGTCTGATGGGCAAGCAGGGTATCCTTGCCTCGTGTTGCCATACTTTCCAAACCACCTTTTGTGATACATTCTTGGAGATACCTGTAATGAGGGGACTGATGGGCAAGCAGGGTGCATCTCGTATGACGCTTCGGGACAATAAGTCCGGAGATACCCGCCGTCAGGCAATCCTGCGCAGTCCCTCGCAAAATCCAAAGGGAGATCTATACATCCTTGACTCGGTTCAACCCGCTACTTCTTCAGAGCGACAGTGCGCATCCTGTCGCGGGGCGCGGCCTGGTGCCACTTCCCGGTACCGTACTTCCAGCAATTAAACCCATCTTACCCAACTTCCGTCCCTTCTGAACCTTTATTTGTTTCCCGGGCAATTCGCCACACGTTCTTCGAGCTTGTGAGAGTCCCCCCTTCTTACCCACGCTTCCACCCCCCTTTTTTTCTCTATGCTACTGCCCATCCCATCTCACCCAAGAGGGGGCATGCTTTTCCTACTATTGTTAACATGCGTGGCCCAGGAATGACCATGCATAGATTACCTCTTTTTGTTTGGTCTGTGCTAATTACAGCTTTTCTGCTTTTATTGTCACTTCCAGTATTAGCAGGTGCTATTACTATGCTATTAACTGATAGAAATTTCTGACAAACTTTCCTAAGCTGCCATTACACATCTCAGCCGGGTAGTTGTGCGTTCACAGTCGCCTTTCACCGTAAGTAACGGTAGCCCGACCAGGTCGTCTGTAGAGCGCATCCTCTTGATGTGGTGCAGCGTGCTTTGTGATTACGGCTTCCGTTTGCCGTATCAGCGAGAAGGAATAAAAATCCGGAAAGGTACTGTAGGTCAGTATCTCATCGTTCGATACCTGTTCAAAGTTTTTGGGAAAACATTGGCAGGTTACTTGGTTCATCTTAATCTCAACCTTTGTCCCCAGGAATTTCCAAGTTCCTGTTTCTTCGTCGGTCCTTTCCAGAGTTAATTTCCTGTCGTAGGCTTTTTTGAAAGTGTCCGCCTTGGCCATAGTTGGGGTGCCCGTTATTGCACAATCGCTTGCAGGTAACAGTCAAAAACAAAAAACCCAAATCCCTCACCCATACATTGCACCCCCTTCCGGAACTGTTCTATCACCCTTCAGTCATCCACATCATTTATGCCACCTACGTCTTCCCTGGTGTAGAAGACGGGCGTAGTGTCCCGTTACTGTGAAGACGAGGGTTGACTACCCCGGGCAAGTTCTCACCCCACAAACATCCTTTTTTGTCACAAAGTAGGCACGCGGCAGTGAGCTCCTTCTCCCTCTTTTGAACTTGTGTGCA